CATCGGCAGATGTGTTCATACGGCGATCATCTTGGAATCTTCAATGTGACACGTAAGTGCTATTTCTTAAAAAAGCGGCGTTTAGTACCCAATTTAAAAAATCTAAATTTTATCAATTTTTTTTTGATAAACATAAGAAAAAACGGTAAGAAAACAAATCATCGGTAAGAAAACAAATGAAACTTAAATTAATTATTTGCCGACACTTGTCTACTTTAAACACTTGAAAAAGATAATGGCTATTTTCCTTGTCTGGTTGATTAACAATACACAAACCGACAAGGAAGTGAAGAATTAGACAATAATAGAATAGTTTGAAAATGGCGAAAATGGTTGACATAGTTTTAATTATTGTAATATGGATAAACACTCACAGAGGTATTGTATTAACTTTTGTATCGTTAAAATTATACTATTTTCTAATCCAGAGATTAAAGTATATCCTTATGTACCGTAGGGTTTTTGATTAAAGTAGTAATATGTAGAGTTAAGAACAATATATGACATATTATATTCGCAGACGTATGTGTGTTGGATTTATTTATTCAACATAGAGGGAAGTACAAATAATGGCAGCCTAAACTTGTACATTTTACAAGTTTAAGTTGAGGAATGTAAATGTACATGTATTTGAAAATGAGCACTTGATTATAAAATTTAATCGGTTGTTCAGTTAATTGACACTCATAGATATGCCATTCTCCATATTTTTAACTCTGACAATTTTAAAATAGATTTTCAAAGTGTATCAAATGTTTTGGCTCAAACATTATGTGTTCCTTTTTCATTAACAATGGCAATTTAATCTGATGTTCTATCAATGGAACTTTTCCTTTTTGTACGTTTTCTGACATTCGACTGTTTTGTGTTTGATGAGAATTTATAGCAGATGACGTTAAATGTGTAACTCACAAAAAATTATCTTTAATTATAATAACGTAAGGGTTCATTATCACAAATATAACTTGTTTAACATTTCGTGATTAACCGTTGAAAAAAAATATTATAAATCATCTATTGTACTGTTAATATAAAATAGCAAGTCTCTAAAATACAAACTGACATAGTAATTGCCTCCAAAAAAAGAAATAATTATTAAGTCGAATAATTTCAAGTTTGTTTTCAGTATTATACAATTTGCTGCTTGTTCCTTATGATATTTACAAACATAACTATATATTGTACATGTATATTTACGATACATTTTCTGAAGCACGTGAAGCTGGTGACTGAATTAAAATATATCAAATTATTTTGACATTGCGAGCAAACGATGTCAAACTTAAAGACGTTTTTGGTAGTGTTTGTGCGCATCGGAATCGACTTTCAATGGAGGTCATTACGGATAATTACTCCTCAAAAAGAAACAGTTGAATATTCCTCAGATAACTGTTTAAAATTCGGCTACAAAACAAATAATGAATTATTGATACAGAATAAATATTTCAAAAGCTCAAAAAGGGATCGGGTAAAAAGAAAAAGAGGGTCGTTTAGACAACATCTGAGAAATGAGTTCTCCTAGCATTAGTATGACAACATTGATGATGAATCCACATGCTTTCCCACCAACTAGTGGTAGCGCCCCTTATATACTAGCAGACAAGTGGGCAAAGAATAATAAGAAATAATACCTAAGAAATGTACCAATTTTTATTTTTGTTCTAAATACATGCTAACTGTGCTCGTTTGTTAGTCGCTGGAAGAAATAATAGTATGGCCCTTATAGGAGACTTGTTTTTAAAAAAACATGTTCTGTTCTATTTACTTCATAAAACCTCATAAGCAATTATAGAAACCTATATTTCAATTTATTCTCTTGTATATATAATGTAAACGGTATATATTAAGTAAGAAAGCGTGGTCATATTGACAGATGGCATTAGCAGTAACCATGGAAACTGCCTATAAACAAAAAATCTAACACCTCATCATACATTTTTATTTTTGAATTTGTCATTAAACTTATTCTTATGCATAAGAATGTAGAAACTCTAATGGAAGAACTTTTTTCGATATCTTTAGTTATAATTATTATCAAAATGTTTATTTGAATCATTGTGTGTTCAGTTAACATTTAACCCCATGAGCATATAGTGAAAAATGGCCGTTATCATTGAAAAGCCTCATGTAACAAGTTCAAACTGCTATGAAACTATGAAAAATGCTTCAATACTAATGAAACTTAACACAAATGTTAACTGGACCATAGCCTCTGTACCAGCATGCTTAATTTTAAATTCCTGTTACCATGGCGACGGGGATGTCTCAAAATTGCCAATAATCACTATTTTCCATTGTTTTTTTATATCACAACTGATTTCAAAGTGCTGCAACTTCTCAATGGATTGAGATAGAGTAAGGCTTTTCAGCGCTGGTTACATGTTACCATAAGATCAACCTGATGCTATTTTTAGTTTGTCACATGTCCAAAATCTTCTTGGTGATGAGGGGTTGGGTGGATGCCGCCCCTTCAAACCCCCAAGCAAGGGGCAGCCCCTTGATGTACCTTTATGATGGGTGGGCGGTGCCGAAAGAAAGATCACTTTTTTGAATAACATTTCTTAAATGAAAAACGTTGTTTGGGGCCTAAATATGGTATTTTTTCACTGTGCCTCAAAAGGGGGGGGGGGTGACAAAAAGTCGTCAAAACACGCTTATGTGAGGTAAAAGGCTAACAAAAATGATGAAAAACCTTGGAATTACCCAATATCTTGTTTTTTCATGTTAACAAGTGGCCTTACACCTAATCTCATCTCACATCTCCAAAATGTTCTTGGCTATGAGAGGGGCTGCCGCTTTCCTTCACCCCCCCCAAACAGCAGGAGGCACATCCCCTTTCTGGCAACCCCCTGATTTACCTTTATGTTGGGTGGGCGGCGCCGAAAAAGTGATCACTTTTTTAAAAAAACATTTCTCAAACAAAAAAACTGTGTTTAGGGCCTAAATAGGGCATTTTTCACTGTTTGAGGCCTCAAAAGGGGGGCAAAAAGCCGTCAAAACACACTTACATGAGGTAAAAGGTTAAGAAGCACGAACAAGTCACCTTTTAAAGAAATTTGTTAGTAAGTATCATTTGTATCGTACATTATCATTAGATAAAGTTAACCTTTGTATAAAAATATGCGTGTTGTGTGTATTAGGCTGTCTTGAAAATTGTTTTATTTTTAATACACAGTGTTTTTGACATTTTTGAGATATACGGTTACCATTGAAACTGCCAAACTAACAACAATCTTACACATCAACATACATTTTTTATTTTTGAATTCGCCATTAAATTATGCTTATGATTCAAAAAATTTAGAAATGCTATGAAAGGATTAAATTTTCTTACAACTGTAGAAAATGTCTTTCAAAAAAGATTTATAACATCATTCTCGGTTCGCTCTCTTGGCTCATTCTGTATAGCATCGCATTGGTACTTATGACAGGTTGGCTCAATCTAGGCGAAATGTCTCCGTAACAATTGATAACCGTGACTATCTTTCACTGCAGAAATCATGAAGGATAAGTAGAAAGTCACTTGCAGTGAAATTAGGAAAATACTGGTTAGTTATCCGGGATAGACGTATATGAGGACCAACAGTCGAGATAGACTAAATATGCTATAATCCGTGTAAAAAGCAGAAAAGCAGCCAAAGCCCTTCTTGAACAGAACAAAAGAGAAAATCTGTCCTGTCTACTTCAGCAATAAGAGAGTTATGGACATAATTAAAACAATATTATTTTACTGTTCTATTGAATACAGAACCCAACATTAATTTATATTTACAAACGAAAAAAACAACAACAAAGAAACAAAATATCAATTAAATAGCTAAAACTAGAAATTATATAATGGTTTTGTAAGTATTAGATACTTATATCCATGACTTTTGGAATTAATCCAAAACACGTGTTTACTTCAAAATAATCGGCATATCTGTCAGTAGTGCTCATTCTTTAAACAAGTAAAATCACATCAAAATTGCGACATATTACTTCTGTTTTGATAAGGAAAAACAGACTGATCTCTGTATTGTGATCACGTGAACAAGAACCACTTGACAAATTTCCACTCGTCATCTTTCATTTAACCTTTATAATAAATAAGTGATTATACATAACTACTCAGTATGTAAAGGTCATTATCTCCACAAAATAAAACCGTGAATTATACTTTATCAACAAGTAAAATATGTGAAAATCGAAGTCCCGTGAAAACAATTAAATAAAAAAAAAATGTTTGAAATACGCCCTCTAGCACCGACATAAGCAATATCCCGTCTAAAAACATATAGTATGTGATTTAAAGATCCTAAAAAAACAGAAGATATAATTATAATACATTTAAAACAGTTCTGCATTACACTTAACAACTATTGGTATTAGTTATACATTATTAAATCAAAGTTTTATCACCATTGTTAATATTTATATTTTGTCATGCTTTGCCGATTATAATAAAACACTTGCCTTGCAAAATAATAGGAGCTGCATTTATAACACCATACAAAACTTATTGGCGAAATGCAACTAACAATTGCACAATTGAAACGCCTACAATCATGTTCAAGGGAACGGGGAAGGATCTACCCATAGCCGTGAATGCTACCACTTGACAAATTTCCACTCGTCATCTTTCATTTAACATTTATAATAAATAAGTGATTATACATAACTACTCAGTATGTAAAGGTCATTATCTCCACAAAATAAAACCGTGAATTATACTTTATCAACAAGTAAAATATGTGAAAATCGAAGTCCCGTGAAAACAATTAAATAAAAAATAAATGTTTGAAATACGCCCTCTTGCACCGACATAAGCAATATCCCGTCTAAAAACATATAGTATGTGATTTAAAGATCCAGATCCTAAAAAAAACAGAAGATATAATTGTAATACATTTAAAACAGTTCTACATTACACTTAACAACTATTGGTATTAGTATTAGTTATACATTATTAAATCAAATTTGTATCACCATTGTTAATATTTATATTTTGTCATGCTTTGCTGATTATAATAAAACACTTGCCTTGCAAAATAATAGGAGCTGCATTTATAACACCATACAAAACTTATTGGCGAAATGCAACTAACAATTGCTCAATTGAAACGCCTACAATCATGTTCAAGGGAACGGGGAAGGATCTACCCATAGCCGTGAATGCTAGTATTATTGGACACGAAGCTGTGTGGGTAGGATATTATCTAGCAGCTACAGCCTTCCATTATGTTGGTAAATATTAAAAGGAATTAATTACAATAAAATCTATGTTAACTTTATGTTTATGTTAAAATTAAATGAAGAAAATAAAAAAATGAAAGTCATATATATCAACAAATGAGACAGATTAGGATCATGTAAGGGTCTATGCCGAGTTGTTGAATTGAACAGTCCTCGGTTATTTTTAGGGTTACTGTGAATAATCTATCATAGTACAGTTTCTTTATTTTTTATTAATTACGTCATTTTCAAAAGTACGGAAAACCGGGTTTTTACAGGATGATAGTGCTTAGATACTTTTTTGTGAAATGCCTTAAACTGTAAAATTATTTTGTAAAATTCCAGGTTGTATAAAAAAGGAAAATATGGCTGCAATTGCCGAGTTTGAATACAACACTCCGGGTTTGTGTTACTCTGCATGCAACATGACATATTCGATTGGTGTCAGTGAGTCAAAAGTAAGCCTTGCTTTTTATCGCGGCTCAAGAAGTTTTATTTATGATTTTAAAAAAAATCATATTTATTACTTTAGATAATAGTAGGTTAACTGTAGAATTGAAATACATTTGATCGCTTTTATAATAAAACTATATTTGTAGAAGCATAAAAGAAAAAAAAAATGGCTCAGAGCAGTTCATTTTTTAAGCTTTGTAATAACTTTGTAAACAGTCGCCCGTACATTCAATCAGAGATGTTATATTTCTGATCTTTAAAGATCGTTCAGCACGACATAATTGCTGTGCTTGTGGTAATTTAAGTATTTCTTTTTTTTTTTTTTTCTTGTTGGGTGGTTCCAGTATTCCTCACTTGATTACTGTTGAATCACCCTTAGGATATGTTGCCTGCTTTTTAAATTTGTCTTTTTACGTATTATTATGCAGGCTTCATTTATTTAGTTCCGCCCATTGTTTTCTCGTTTAGGGCACACGCATTTTTTACTTGGGGACCATATGCCGCTTTTCATGGAATGGCACTAACGTGTCACATTGAAGGTTCCATGATAACCGCAACCACTGCGGATGTTTCAAAATTCAAAATTGTACCAATTCATTTTAAATGTTGAATTCTGCTCAAGCCAGTGCTCGTGAGCGTAGACGGTAATTTGCACTTTGTAAGGTCCATGAACAGGCTCAATCAAACTGAGCCTGCAACATTTTCAATTATTTTGTGTTGGACTTTCTTTAGGGATTCTTGCCTTCTCTATTTTAAGCAAGTAACAATGAAAATAGGGCGTATTTTAGAAAATTTGTATAGTTCATTGAATATACCGAGTGTGTGTAACATCATTCTCGAATAAATGCATAGGTACAAAATATGTCCCGAATGAATATTTTCCAACGTCATGCTTATATAGTATACAACAGACAAAATTGTGTTATTACGATATTTCTTTGCCTTTCAGTGTTACTGCTTTAACAACACTATTCCATCAGACAGGACATATCACTTATGTACCCAGGGTTGTAAAACGCAAATGAATATTGCTTGCGGCAGCAACAATTACATTTCAATTTACACTATTTACTCGTACGGTGAGATATCTACATCTTAAGTTGAACAATTGTATATAACTCATACATAAACATTATGTAAGATAAAGAGCATCGAAACATGAGGCTATCTGATTTATACGAGGGGACAAAGCCCCCGAGTATTAATCAGGTTGTCGAGTGTTTTGATGTTCTTTCTCTTTTGTATCATAGTTAAACATAAAAACACGTTCCCTGTTGTCACAATATGAAACCTCGGGAAAAAGTAACCAATGATCGAGCATCTGAATATGATATTTCTGTCGCTTTCCCTTTCTCTTCCGTCACAATAAGTAAACCCCAGCAAATATGAGCCAATGGGCATGCTCTTGGGTGCGGGTAACTGATTCCTGCACTCCAGTTAACGCACTATGCATGTATATGTATACGATTTAACACTGGCACATTTTCAACAGAAAGGTCCTCAAACTATGATACAATTGAAATTAAGAATAAAAATGACTTATACATATACATTTATCATTGGACGTATCAGACAATGTCAATCAAGTAGAACCAAAGTCTTAATTTCTGCCTTAATGATTGTGCATAAAGTTTCGTGGTCATAAAATCTTAACACATTACGAAAATCATGTAAACATTATACCGATAGGTATAATACAGATGTTCCTAATGTAGTTCTTTCATAGAAAATTGCATTGTTTCTTAAAACTTTTTTCAGCAAATCTTTTCAGTGGAAGTGGGAGGTGTCTTCAATATGAGTTCAAAAATTATACGTCCACATGGATGTGGGAAAACTGCGGATCAGGAAATCAGATCATATGTAGATTTAGTGAGAAACAAAATGAAAGCATATTTATACTTATAAAGGATAGTTAAATATCTAAATACATACACAATACAAATATTTACAGTAAAATTAAAGTGAATAACTTTATGAATTAATTGATTATATTATAATGCTTGTTCTTTTATTACGTCAAAAGTTTTACGGAAATGTATGCATTTCGTATTTGTGAACCATTTTCAAATTGTTTTAAAGATATACACTTTTTTTGCCAGATGATACGTATATTATTGAAATATATAAGGAAAATGGAAACATAAAAAAGAAGTGGTGGAGACCATCAATGAACGAATGTTTTAAATTGTCGAAATTACCAACATCAGTCAAAGACCTGGAACATCTTGAAAGAGGAACTAACCTTGGGAAATCATGGGCTGGTGTCATTTCAAGTGACGTTATTTACAGAAGCGGTGTGTAATTAATGTTTTATGTTTAAGGAAAAAATATTGAGAATCATTTTAAAGGCATTAATTTTAACACACGCTGATACAGAAAATAAGAATTAACAATAAACTAGTATATAGTATGTATATATGCATATGTTTTAACCCTTTCCTTCATGAGAATATTGTGAAAAAAGGCCGTTTTTATTGAAAAGCCTACTGTTACAAGTTCAAACTGCTATGAAACTATGAAAAATGCTTCAATACTAATGAGACATGGCACAAATGTTGACCGGAACATGGTCCCTGTAACAGCATGCTTAATCTTAAATTTACTGTAGCATTGGCAACGGCGTCTCAAAATTGCCAAAAATCACTATTTTGCTTTTTCCCCATCAAATCTGATTTCTATGTGCTGCAATTTCTAGATGGATTGAGATAGTGTAAAAGTATTTCAGCGTTATGTTACTGTAAGATCGACCTGAGGTCATTTTTAGCCTGTTACATCTCCAAAATGTTCTTGGCATTGAGGGGGGCGCCGCCCCCTTCAAACCCATGAAACAGAAGGGGACACATCACCATTCTGGCAACCCCCTGATGTACCTTTTTGAGGGGGGCGGTGCCGATAAAGTGGCCACTTATTTAATCAACTTTTCTCAAACGAAAAACAGTGTTTGGGGCCTAAAGGACATTGTTTCGCTGTTTGAGGCCTCAAAAAGGCGGTGGGGGTGGAAAATCCGTCAAAACACGTCTATATGAGGAAAAGGGTTAAAAGGCATGAATGAATTTAAGACATTTGATATATATGTAGTATTCATTACAGAAACATCTTTTATATGACAAATAATTATACATTTCTTTTTTCTGTGAATAGATCACGAAGCTCCGTATATGGAGTTGAAACAGTTTGGCTACCTTCAAAGAAACGAGACAAATGACATTGTATTATTAAAATTTGATAAAGAAAACAAAATCCAAAGATTCACACTTTGTAAAAATGGTAAAGTTAATGTGCTTTTTAAGCTACTATAAAAATCACCTAAATGATTTTGTTACATTTATAAGGTTATATCTGCACAACGGAAATATATATCCTCAGATTGAATAGCTTTCAATAATATAATGCAATTTCTGAAATTTTATTTTCGTTTCGTGTTTCAATAGTTAACAATTCTTAGATATTGGTACTACCAATCATGACATAAGCTGATAAATAAATTTGTTCAATTCTAAATAAATATGTAAATACAAATTGTTACTATCACATCATATCAAACCTCTTTTATATAATACAACACAAACAATAACTTGTAAAACAACAAGCGAAAAACTAACAACAATGACAAGTGATAATTTTACTGCAGAATCAGCAAAAAGGCCAGGTGATGATAAATCTAAACAAACAAAAACAGACCAAGTTAGTGCAACAATAGGTATGTTTTAGAAGACAATTTCTATTCTTGATTTTTAATTGTTAGACGCATTCATATTTATTCAGCTGTTGCCAAAAAACACGTACCTTGTAGTTTTTTTAGTTATCGAATCTATGATGTCTTTCAGCCACAGATATTGGCATCGCTGTAGGTGTTTCCGTAGCCATCTTCATTACCGTTGTAACTATTGTTGTAGGATTTATAATAATAAGAAGGTACCAATTTAAAACTATCTTCATTTGATCCTTGATAGTATGCATTTTAGTTATATATGCAAATAAGTTTTCATTCATATGGATAAAGTTCATTGCAAACATGGCATTGTATCATGTTATTAATTATTCGCGATGATCAAATGCATTTTTATAAACGATTCTCGATTTTGAATACATTGCGCTTATAACATAACAATATTCATTACATGTCTTAAAATTAAGTGTTTAATGGGAGTTCTTTTTCTTTTTTAATAAAACGACAACAAAAAACACATGATATTTAAATGTGTGTTCCAATGTTCCTACTTGAATAATGTTTAATCACCCTTAGGATATGTTGCATGCTTTTTAACTTGTCTTTTGACGTCTTATCTGTGATACGCAGGCTTCATAACCTCTGATCCCAATTCAAAATTCCATTTTATTTAGTTCCGCCCATTGTTTTCTCGTTACGGGCACACGCTATTTATTACTTGGGGACCATATGCCGCTTTTCATGGAATGGCATGATAACCGCCATATGAACACATCTGCGGATGTTTCTAAATTCAAAATTTTGCCATTTCATTTTTAATTGTTGAATTCTGCTTAAGCCGGTGCTAGGGGGTGTGGACGGTAGTTTGCAATTGACAGTACCGTCCATGAACAGGCTCAATCAAACCGAGCCTGCAACATTTTCAATTTTGACGTGTTTGGCTTTCTTAAGGGATTCTTATTTTCTCTTTTGTCTTTTTGAACAAAAAAAAAACAACATTTTCTTATGTGGACTATATTCACTATAGTTTTAAATCGCCTTTTTCGCCGATTCTTTCTTTTGTAAATAAATCGGTTTGAAGGTGAAGAGGCGAGAATTAAGCATTAATTTTAATCATTTAAGCGCATTGTCAAGTATATACCGAAATACGGTATTTAATGTGGTACTTTAAAACTTTTTAGCCTCCCTCATCCTAAACTTGAATAACATAATATCGTATATCTACAAAAATCACATTTAATTCCGATTTTATTACTCAATACAAAACGAAGAAACTGTTCTAAGAGCCGAAAACATTATAAATATGATAATATAATGGTTTATCGATTAATTTCAGTAATTTGATTATTCTAAGCAAGATGAGTCCATTATATGTGGAAAATGAATAATGACATATGATTTGTCCTTCAGAGGGAAGGTGCCGTCTTTATGTTGCAAAAAAGCACTGCATGACCAATCTTCAAAAAGCACAATGAATACATTCATAGTTAACAACTCCAACACAATACCTCTTGAATGTCACAAGGGAAAGGTTGGCGAAGTTATTCCGCAAACAGCCATTGTATCAGAAGATGATGTCCTGGAAAATAGCGGACATCGTCCACATGATAACTTTATTCTTGAAAAGACTGAAACTGATTATAGTACAACTTATGAAATTGCGGATTCAAATTCATGTCAAGTTGAAGTAAATGTGTATAATACATTGACGTCAAGTGTAAAACTAGGTGGTAACTTTGACAATACATACGATACAGCAGAGAAAGCAGCTATGAAGCTAAAGCCCAAGCATGGTGAAAAGGATAAATCCTTTGCAAATGAAACGATGGAGGAAACAGATGACGATCCTTACAATCATTTATATGAAGGTGAACAATTATTGAAAAATGTCAGAACAGATCATGTTTATGGTGTAACACAATATGATGAATATGCAAACTGCAGAAAAAGTCTCGGAAAACATCTTCAGGATGTTGAAGATACGTACAATCATACAATTACATCTCCGGATGCTCAGGATTTTCAAGACGTTTACAATCATACAAACCAAACTTCAGGACGTTAACTTACAATTATACAAGCACACATTGTTATCAATAACATAAAAGACATTATGCAAACAAACAAATATTTTAATCGCATGCCTGTCTCAATGACGGATAATATGCTTTTAATACATATACATATATATTTTTTATGCATTTGATTTTTGTGCCAGTTCTGTTTCTCTTTTTACTTTTATAGTTTCATGAATTTAACATGCTTTGTATTCAAAATTATGAAACAATACCAGAGTATACAACATATGATGAAGTAAAACGAAAGTAATTGCCTAATGCTATTTCCTAAGAAATAATGCCGGTCTTTTATTACAGAAATTTGTATAGCATGATGACATGACCATCAAAAGAACAGACGATATAACTCATTGTTTAGCGATCCGTCTTGTTACAATCTCTTGTAAAGTCTTAGTTGAAATGCAGACGAAAAACAAAATGAATTTGACAATAAAGCAAAACACCTGACTCTTCTGAATTATGGTTCTTTGTCAATTTATATTTTCTAGTGGGCATCTATGTATAATTTTCGAGTTTAGTCTCGAGTTATGCTAAGGACATATAGGGCAAGCTAAGAGAATTAAAGAAAGAGAGATAATAGGAAAGAGTACCGGCCTAAGTTAGTCATTTTTATTGGCCATTAGTACTCTCATATATACGTTTTAATTAGGTTTAAAGTCAACAACTTGTATGGCCTGGAATCCTACTTTAGATAAATGAATTAAGAACTATTTTTTGGCAATTGTTTAATGGGAGACAATGTAAAGTATATATTGATGCATGCTTATAGATAACGGTATTTTTCCTAGATAATAGTTACATATATTTCATGCTGAAAGTAAATCACATTTAATTTTCGGACAAGAGATTATTTGGAATATAATGATATAGGGGATATTACAAAACAAAACAGAGAAGAGTTATGGCTTGTTCTTAGTTGCCACCTTTTAACATTTCAAGTTTTAATCAAATTGAATATCAAATACAATTAAGTTGCACTACGGCCTTAATATAGGAAGGAAGAAGGTATATATTTTAGCCCACTCTTTCCGGTAGGGCATAATTAAGTTATTGTTTGTTGTAATCTATAGTTAAACGATTGTGGTGGTATCTATTTTACACCTTTAATTCAGTTTATATTTCTTTTTATATACAAGCAATAACATTTTAGGCAAACTATTCGGATCATATGTCAACAAGTGTTATGATGTTAATATTTTTCCTTGTTTGAACTGCATTGCAGTAAAGTATACATATCTTCTTGTTAGCATACAAAAGTCATTAAGGTCTGAAATGTTGTAAAATTTCGGTTGGAAAGTCGTGCGCTACCTTAAATGAAATATCAAATGATCTCTTTCCCAAACTTAGTCAGCAATGACATTTAACATGCGTTATAAAACATATTGGTAATTCTGAAAGGTACTCGTACCCACGATCCACATAGCAGTATATATTGGTTATCAACCAGGTATATTATTTAACTATAGTCAGTTCAGGTTTTAATTATCACGAGTTGCGAGTAATCGAGTGAAAATGTTTGTTTCATGGCAGTCGTTTGAACAGGTTTTCGTCAATAAATCTGACTTTTGCTTGCAAAATGCCTCAAATTGTTAACATTTAGGCTGAATAAGTCAAGGAAACACGTTCATATCTATTTATTTTCGTTTATTGTATAATGTTGTATGAACGACATATTACAAAGTAACATTGAAGCGTGTCCATTTACTTAATAACTTCCTGATACGATTGAATTTTAGCAAACAGGAAAAAATAAACTGACGAGAAAGATTAATATCAAAATGAGGAATGTTAGGAAGATATTATCGTCCACTATGAAAATATATATAGATATTACTTAAAAGTCCATTGTGCTCAGAAATGCTTTTATGATTAATTCTCAAAAGCTTTTCAATTTTCTTGTCCTTTCTAGTATCCAAACAAATACTCATTAGTTAATTATCATCTGAAAGCTCTTTTTCATCTGTTGATGTTGTTGTTGTGTGTTTTTTGTTTTGTTTTGTTTTTTTAATCTTTTTTTGTTTGTTTTTTTTTGTATTGCTTTTTTTTTTTTTTTGGAGGGGGGGGGGGGCGATGGGTAATCGGTACATTTATACATTTATAGCATATTAGTATTTTGTGTAGGAGTCAAACTACGACTTTGTTTACATTTTTACTTTCAAATTTAAAGCTACTTTCTCCGAGTAACAATCATCTGAAAAACTCTAAAGCCAGTATTTAAACAGCATAAAATTATGTTTGCCCTTTCCAAAGAAGTAAACATTTATTTGTTTCTTAGATAGAATGCGCCTTACCGTTTACTATGTTTAAAAAAGTAAAACAAAAATACTTTACCTTTCGTGTAATAAATACTATGTTCATTTATTATGTTTAAGAAAACGGTAACTCGTTTATTAAATTCAGTACCAATAAATATAGATGAGATGTTTCGAATCACGTTTGTCCTTATTGATAACTTTTATACGTGCAAGTTTAATAACAAGTAAAATGGTTTCCTGCGGGGAACATATTAATGATATAAAGATATTTCATTTAACTATTTTCAACATTGTTTTTTTTTTTTTTGGGGGGGGGGGGGGTAAATAAACGTTGGTATCAGGAATATAGTTGACAATAATCGATCAATGTAGAAGAAGGTCTTTGGAAACTGGTGACCGTTGATGACCGAAGAAGGTCGAACATAAAACAATTATTTCTTTTTAAGAAAATGATTAAATAGGCCTACCATTTTATGAATAATTCCGAGCAAAAAAATATAAAATAAAGTAAACACACAAGTCTTCGCAGAAAATATCTCTATTTATTATGGCAGATGCCACTACGAATATTTTAATTTTGTAGATTTTCAGTATAAACAATTTATTGTTTGTAACATTTTGAGATACATATTAAAGAAACATTGATAATTTTCAAACACATCATTCAAGTTTTTCCACCTTAAAGGGTAAAATAGTTATAGAAAATTAAAAATATCACGTAATAGTTTTTTTTGTTCTTAATTAGGTGTAATTCTGACTGATTCCCTTGAGGATTATCCGTAACGTACCGGCAAACGGTATTTAGCCAGGTTTTCGAAAAGGTCAATTAACCAATCATGTACGGTTTACAGATCACATGCTCCTCCATGTACCGAAAACAGGTCACGTGCTCCTCCATGCCTCAAAAGTTAAACGCGTACCAATACCCTGCGGTCTCCAGACCGCAGGGAATCATATGACCTCTGCATCAATATAAGATAAAATGGTACACTGTAGGATATCAATTGTATTATGTGTCGTGTGATAAAGATAATCATTGTTAACACAGACAAATATCATAAATTTAACTTCCGGTGGTATAGAAAAGAAGGGAATAGTTTTAAGCAAAGTATACTCAATAAAGTTTGAATGAACAGTTAACTAATTCAAATTGAGAAGTTTGAGAGGTTATTACCTTGTAGAAATGATTTATTATTTCTATACCTTCCTTGTTTTTATGCACATTTAGATAATGTTTTTTGTTCGAGATCACTTTCGGCTTGTCGCATATGTTTATGTGCAATGTATACAAAACAAAACTATAGTGTATGAGAATAAAAGATAAATCAGCATGCGAAAAAAAAAACCAAAAAATAAAACATATATATTTTCTGTTATTTACACATATTCATCCTTGCTTCACTATATGGTATATCAATGTTATTTTTCACTTCGTCGCAGTCTGAATGTATTTACATTTCTTTTTTATAAAATCAATATATAATTAGAAATAATTATATTGTCGCAGAATCAAGTATTTGTCTCCGTGCTGTTTTTATAAATGACCTTAAATCTGTTGTATAGTTCGTAATAAAATCGAAAAATATACTACAGTCATCAAACATATATAATAGTTGTAATAGTAATGTCACATTTGCGAGGGCTCAATAACATTAATAAACTGTGAGTACTTGTTTTTTAACGAGATTTATGAACAAGTGAGAAAGAAAGGTCTAACGATAAAAAGTAATTTTGTCAATAATTTTGTTATGGATTTTGTAATCAATGTTTTAAAAAGTATTGATACCCTTCGTAAATTATGTTATACCATTTCGAACATACCAGTTTGTTGCATAATTTTCAGTTGTCATAAACCATTAGACAATCCTACGTTCTTAAGTCGTTAGAGAAGTGGTTTATTGAACATCATTTTATAGCTTGTTTGTTACTGAATCGTGTAACAAGGAAGAAGTCAGTCGCTGTATAACTGAAACGTCTTCTTTATTTTAAAATGTTTCTTAAAAGATGTGTTAGTTGTGTTCTCCTGTGGATTATGTTTATTCAGGGTATCATATAGTTATTATGATTAATAATATTTTTTAATCTGTTTTCTAATCCTTTTGGTCATTTACTGGTAGACAATTTACCACACATGATTAATTCATTGAATATTTTTTCTTTGTAATGATTCAAACATCATAGATAAATTATTCTGTTGTCATTTTGATAATTTTACTTTTTGAATTAATGTTCAGGAAGATTTTAAAATTGAAATCTTGTGAAATGTGTGTTCAAGGTGGTACATAAAGAAAGTCTTTTTTAGTCCCAAAAACAGTTTAAGGGATGTTTGTCTATAAAGAATTCATATTCTATATCTGTTATCCCTTTTGAATTGACAATAGGACTGGTCTATAGTAGGCACATTTTTATTAGTATAAAATAACCTATGGTGCTAAGCAAAAGTTGAGAAGTATAATTGCTTGAAACTAAAACTGAAATAGGTATATTTGGTATGTTGTCAAAAACATGTTGAAGTTTCTGCACCGTAGATTTGTTCCCTTATAGATGAAATAGCCATTAGTAATTTACTCATTCAAATAGAATTTAACCAATCGGTAATTGCCTTGATTTTGTTCTGATCTCTATCTCGAATGACATTCATGAGTCATTGGTCGGATCGTGGGACTTTCATTGGTAAGGTTAGTGTCCTTTCTGCGCTAGTTTCTGATCAACCAAATACTTGAGATCAAAGTTTGAGCTGAGAAATATTGCATAGCCTCGGAATATTATCTGATATAAAGAATCCTCCGAAGTTGTGGACAGTAATGTAACTAAAGATAAGTTTTATAATCTTACAAACAAACAAGTTTGAACAAATATTTCGCACAAATATTACCGGGGTATTATCATGTCAGATCTTCTAACATGTAACATGTTGAAATAAAAAATAAGCTAAGAGGCTAACAAATAAGAGTATTCATAGCATACATTTGACAATATATGTATTAAATTAATATTTTACCACAAAAGTTAATAACAGAGTGAGTTGAATTTTTGCGTACGCTGAAAATTATATGTGTTGTGGTTGAAAAAAAAAATTGTACCTTAGGATTGGCATACTCACTTACAGTCTATACACTTAACAACATATTTACTCTTAAGAGCAGTTTCTAATTTTCCATAACCATTTAGATACAAAATATTGAGAAAATGTTTTATGAT